ATCCTTTAAACACAAAACTTTACGTCAGTGAGGATCCTAGAAGATTAAAAAACGCACCCCAAAAGGAAAAAGATATAATCTTTTTAGGTAAACTACAATCACATCTGGGGTTTTAGATTCTTTCATTTTTCTGCAGGTAACTGTAATTTACAGGAAAAAACAAAGAAACAAGACTAGAGAAGTAAGACCAAGATCATTCATCATTTGTTAACTTAAAATTATGTCTCTAATAAGTTTCAGAATTCAGAAAAACAGTTTTTGAAAGTCTGTCAAGAACATCGAGACAGTTATAAATGGATGCTTGATTTCATATGGAAAACTATTTTCTAACATTTTCAAAAAATTAGACACCTCACACCATGATCATCCAATATTACCAGTTGTTTTTCTTTTTCAAAAACCTCTTTTCAAAGTTTTGAATGAAAAATTGACCTTAAGTATTGCATAAAACTCAGAAAAAAAATAAGAAAAAAATTCCCTTCTAATAACTTTTCCTAGCTTCTATAACCACCAAAGATTTCATCAGCAGTTATTACAGACACACACACACACATATCAAAGTTTCAAATTTAGAAATCTGATAAAACCCAGAATATGAAAATCTGTTTTTTCTTTATTAGTTTCACCAAGAACATCTCCCAACTTAAAAAATGAAAGATTTTTCGATCTCATGAAAGGGTAATTCTCCCTCCATTCATGTGATCATGGAGGAAAGTAGGTTTTGTTGAAGTGAAGAAAGTTTTGAGTAGTGAGATACGATCGATGAGAGAAAGAGAGACTGACATGTCATCCATGAATTTGGCAGCTACCATGACACTCGTGATCAACAATCTATGCACATTGAAGGAGTTGATGGGGAGAGAGGGTTGTCTCTGAGTGAAACGGTCGAGGTAGACATAAGCAACGATGATGAAACACGAAGGGCTGCAATTAGCGTACTTGAAGATTCTTTCAAGGTAGTTCTGGATTGAGATGTTTGGTCGTGTCAAGCCATGGAACACTGAGATCTTGTGCTGCTGTTGAAGCTTCTGGTTGTGATCGTTTGATTCAGCCACCTTTTCCAGCATGGAGGAGAGGAAAGTGATCACTTTTGGCATCACACTTGGACTCTCCTCCTCTGCCATGAACACTATCACAAGGTTTTGATGTAACAAATGTTTCAAATTTTCATGATGTGGGTTCTGTCTGTATATATATATATATTATAGAGTCAATTTTCTATGCTATTCTTGCTATGCACTAAGAAGTTAAGTTTAAAAGCAACATGGTCCACCATATATAGATAGATAATTCCATTATTTAAAGTATGTCTTGTTGGAAGTATGATTTCTAATGATGTGAATGGAGAAAATTTTATTTGGAAAATGAGTTTTATTTTTGGTGACATCTTAGTAAAGAAATAATTAGTCTTTGTCTGACTATTTAGAATATCGTTCGTAAAAGAATATATGTTGAAGAAGTATTATAATATTTTATTAAAAGTTTAATTATATAATGAGTTTTACAAGGTATATATTTTTCCAGTGAGAGATAATATTAACGAGATTAATATAAGAGTAACATTATTTTCCACTCAAAACTTTCAGAGAATGAATTTATGAGTTTTGTTTATTTTCCTTACATGAGACTTACTCTTAAATTCTCAATATTATTAATCTTTATTTATATTTTAATATAGTAAATGACTAGTTTTTTATTTTGTCCTCTTAAACTTATAAGTATCTCTGGGCCATGTGATGCAAAAAATGTTCACGCATGTATGAAAACAAGGCGGTGTTCTTTTCTTATAATTTTTAATTGCATGAATTTGGTCCCTTTTTCCCTTTAATTTTCAATCTCTCAATATTCTAATTATGTAATTTAGTTTATCTGATAACCTAACTTTCAATGCTTAACAAAAATGTTGATGTTTTTTTTTTAATCGTGCAACTATATTTTAATTAAAGTGTCACATTAATATTCTTTAACAAATATTATGATAGAGTAAAATTGCAAACTTAAAAAAGTAGGTGAACTAAAATTACAATTAATCCTTATATATATATATATATATATAATATATATATATATATATATATCTATATATATATATAGTGAGAGAAAGAGATTAAGAGAGAGATTGTTAAGGTGGGTATACTTTTGTTGATGGAAAAATGGTCCTATTAGTTTAAATAATGGCTTACAAGTTGGCACATAATTGGTGGTATGTGTCCTTTTTGTGGGGTTTGAGATGGGTAATGATTTTGATTTCCTTTCTCCAAATTAGATTAATTAGTGATCTAATTTATTGTTTGTGGTTAATTTAATTTTGTGAGGATGGAAAAATGGCATGTCATATATGTGATATATACCCTTACATGTGATTACATGTGGGGAATTTGAGACTCTTGTGTAAAGGTCCCACCATTTATAGACCCTTGCAGTGTTTTTATTCTACTTCAAGGGCTTACATTACATGAATTCCTATGGTGTGCCCACACCTAACTATACTATGCTTTTCTTCCTTTTTTATATATATATATATAATATATAGAGATATATAGTGATATATATCTCGATATATATATATATAGAAGATAGATATAGAGAGATGCAGATTCGATTTCACCCGCCCCCCCCCCCGCACCACCGATATACATATATATTGCATTCCCTTAGATAAAGGAAAAGACTATGGAGGTGGTGCTTTTTGTTAAAGATTGGTTCTTGTGACCCAAATGAACTCCAAAGGTTGAACGATGGTGTTCTTTTTGTGATAATATTTAAGGCTTTGGAAGGTATCCAACTTTAATAGATTAGATTTCTTTTATAGATCTTGTTGATATATGTTTAAATTTAGAGCAATAATGAAACATGTGAAAGAAAATATGGAAAGTGTTAACTTATTATTATTTTTCTGACCAATTCTTTCTTCCGACATACTTTATTTTTTTTGAAAAATAATATTTTGATATATATAAATTTTTTACATTTATTTCTTTATTATTTTCTTTTATGAAAACATATAAAAAATTGTTTTTTTATAATTATTTTATCTTTATACGATATGAATTGAACATCAAAATGTATTACTCTTTTTCTTATGTAAAAACTAGCTTTTAACATACTCAGATGATAAAAACTGATTTTATTTATAACTTATTGTAAAAATAAATGTTATCAATTATTGAAATAGTTTAATAATTTTCACAATCATCCAAACAAATTCCCAACCAGATTACTTTTTTTTTTAATTTTGTAAAAACATACATGCTGACGTACCAGCCAGTGATTTTGTACTTTTCTTACTCAAAATTTTAACACGTATATAGAAAAAACTCATACTACCCTATTCAACTAATTGAGCTAAATTCACTTATACCTCATTTTAACCTAGAAATTGAATAACGAAGTTGTTTAAAAGACTATTTTTTTATAACCATAATTAACTTAAAATCTCATGAAATTGAATTATATAACGTAAGTTACGATTTGATTATACTTTTAATTGAGGTGGGATTTTTAATACGTGTGAAGATTTAACGTCTTATTATAAGTTGATTATATTTTAATTGATATGAAATTTTAACACATATAAAGATTTAATGTTTTGAATGTATAAATTCAATAAAAAATACAAAAATAATTAATTAATAATTTTAATTTTATATTTAGATTTATAATTATATATATATATATATATATATATAAAATTATAAATTTTAATTCAACTTGAAAATTTATTAAATAGAGCTAATTTGATCATTTAGATTAAATTCACGTTAACGTCATTTAAAAATGTTATGTATTAAAATTTGATTTATTTTTTTACCTTGTAACTTTATAAAAATTAATGACAAGTATTGTTTAACTTTACACAATTTATTTAAGAAATTAAATTTCCACCATCTTACTAGTATAATTTCACTGTATATATAGTGGACCAATTTACTAAAAATAATTTCATCGAACACTATTATTGAGAGGCTAATTAATTGTTTGGCTATATCCAAGCTGGTTAATAGTATTGTTGTCGTGTTGAGTGGTACATAGCAAGCACTCCTATAAACTTTAGAGACCGACAAGGCTGCATATCCCATTCAGTCAATGTGAAGCAACTTTGCAGAAAGAAACAACAGATAGAATGCAAGAAGAAACAAAAACCTAGTTGGAACTATCGACTCTCTTTGCAAATTCCAAAATACAGACACAACAACCTTTTCCAACGTCTGGATCCAATCTAACGTCCCACAAAGGAAAAAAAACACTAATGTTTCTGTCCCACCATATGCACACTCTGTAACTTGGTTTAAGTATGTATCTAAGCACATTATATATAATGATTTGGGTCATTAAAAAGTTTTATCATGTGTTAAGATATATCAAATATTTGTTAATTAATGTGTGTTAAGATATATCAAATATTTGTTAATTATAATTTAAGTATTATTATAATTTGTACAAATATTTTTTTAATAGATGAGAAATCATACGACTTTGTATATATATGATACACTAATATCTAAAATAATATATCAGAATTATTCTTTAAACCTATGTCATGAGATTAAGTGTTTTAGACATGAAGTGATTATGTTAATAGCAACTCCTTGACTATGTTGAACCAAAACTAAAAAAAAAATTATGGTGATAGTGAAATAGAACAAAGAATGTAGAATTTGTTTGGTTACGCTTGTTGTGATTGGATTTTTTGTTAGGGTTTCTCATCGTTATTTCTTATAAATATAAAAAACAAGTTACTTTTTAAAAGAAATTATGAGTTTAATGGAAAGATATTATAGAAAGGTTTGTTTGATTTCAAATTTCTATTTTTTTTTTCAAATTTATTATATGTTACATATAAAATGTTATATCTATCTTGTATAATACAATTGTATAAATATATTTTTGTAATGTTTCGAGTACACTGAAATCATAAAAATGTCTCCCAATTCTTGATTTGTCCAGTAGAGAGTTTTGATGTTATTTATAAGATTTGTATGATTAAAAGAAGATATAGTATTCGTAGGTTTCAAATTCTCATATCTTTATTTGAAATTTTTTATACATGGGAGACATCCGATGTCTTATTTTTTTTTATGTATATATTGGTTATTATGGATGAAAAAAAACCTTATACTATTATTCATCTCACAATCTCACAAGAAAAGTGTTGTTTGCAATTAGATGCTTGCAAGTGAAAGAAAGTGGAGTTTGTCATCGTCCAAATTTGGGAGAAAATTAACCTAAACACGTCTTCTGATGAAAGTTATTCAAATCCAATGTTTAGTGAAATTGTAGTTTGTGAGATCTCATGATTGTTTTTATATAGGACAAACAATTCTTTTGCTCTTGTAATTAACCAATTAAAAACAAAATCTAAAGGTATAATTGGTATGCCATTCTACATACTTGTTATTTTAGAGAATCATTTTAGTCCATAATTTAAACCACTTATTATTATTGTTATTTTATTTCTTAAACTTAATCCATTATTATTGTTATTTTATTTGAAATTTATATTAAAATAAGAAGAAGTAGATAAGTTTAGATATTATTATTGCAATAAGAGATTGAGTTTATAAATGGGTTTAGAAGATTGAAGGTTATCTAAATTAGTGCTGTCAAAATGGGTTGTAATCCGCGAGTCAACCCGACTCACCACGGGTTTGAGCTGGGTTGGATTTGAAAAAAATGTAACTTTTTTATGCGGGCTAGTTTTCAACCCGGCTCACTTAGAACCTGGTTCACGTAGTGATAAATAAGATGTTTCATCTATTTAAGACTCTAATATTATAAATGGACAAGTGACACAAAAATTAACAATATTAAAAACTTATTTGTTCGCCTTTTGTATATGTTTTTGAATTACGCTTGAATTGTATGATACTTTTTTTATTTATTTTGAATTGTCTTTGGAGTTTAACATCGTTTTAGAGTGATATTTATTTAGATTTGAATTAAAAAAATTAATTTTTTCATTTTAAAAAAAACTTATAATTAAATGAGCCAGTGAGCCAACCCGTTTAACCTACCAACCCGTGGTGGGTCGAGCCGAGTTTGAATTTTTTTCAGCTCGCTAATAAGTGAGCCGGGTTGGGCTGACTCACTAAGTGACCAACCAGTGGTGGGCCGAGTCGGGTTTTGACAGCTCTAATCTAAATACATAGACTTGTTGTTTGGGAGAGTTACTCCCTCCACCACCCCAACTGCTCTCTACACCTCCTCATATTTGTTTCTTATTCCAAACATATCCTATGTTAAAACTTTTTAACTTTTACCATTTAACTTTCTTTACATTCTTTAAAACCCTAATTCTACAACCCCTACCCCTCACTTTTCTCTTTCTCTAATTACACAGAAACTTCACCCCCTCACTTTCTCTCTTGCTCTCTTTTTCACACACACAGAGCCCCCATACCCTCTCTTTCTCTTCGTTTATTCTTCCCTTGTACATTTTTGTGGTTAAAGCTTCCTTCTTTTTGTATATGCACTCTGTAAATAGATGTATGTGGTGTCTTGTGTAAGAGGAAGAAGAGAAACGCGAAGGCTTGAACAGATGTGGAAAATCCATTCAGCCTTCTACGGATCTTGAGATCCGTCCATGGATGTCAAGATCCGTTGAAGGCTGAACGGATCTCTCACATACGTTCAAGTCTTTGCGTTTCAACTCTTTTAATTTTTTTTTTGTTTTTAGTTTATTAATTTTTTGTAGATTTTAATTTCTGAACATTGTAAATGTTTATTTGTGTAGATTTTACATAATTTAATAATTTTTGTAATACTTTTTATGTATAAAAAAATTGTTAAAAAATAAAACAAAATTTTGAAAGAGAAAAGTGAGGGGTGAGACTGCAAAATTAGGGTTTTAGAAGAATGAAGGGTGGGAGATGCGATCTTGATTTATACCAATCCTCATGAGAAAAAACTTTTAACTGCATGACAAAATGGGAATAGTAACATGTGGTAGTGGAGGAAGTGACTCTGGTTGTTGTTTGGTGACCAAAATTCCTTTTATCTTAATTAAAGTAAGGTATTTTCTTTTTGCACTCATATAATTTCCAAGTGCGCTCCATAACTTCAAAATGATATGAAATACAGGATATGATTTTTAAAATAGAATTTTGAGACCAAGCTTTTCAGAATGTACGATATACATTTTAAAATGAACTTTCCAGAATAAATTTATTAAACATGAGATAGGTTTTAAAATAAGACTTATAGAACAAAATTTCTAGAACATATATGACATCTTTTGGATTACACTTTTTGGAACAAACTTTCAACCAAACCCATCATTTTATTCTAACATATTTCGAAGGTTATTTTCATCTGAAATATTTGATGAGGTGCAGGGATTTATATTATACTAGTAATGAATAGTAGTTAGGGGATTATATATTTTATGGGGTTGCAGGAAGAAAAAAGGCGGGTGCAAGAAGGAAAGCCCTTTAAAGTACCGTCAGGAGCCCAAAGGAAAAGCATCCCAAAAACTCATCATGCGAGTTTTCAGGAAGGGTTTTTACTTCCTGCACACCCACAATTTCTATGCACATTCCCTCAAAATTTCCAAAATGACCACTCTATTCTTGGTAAAAGTGACATCCAGATTACATATTCTGGAGACTTTGCGAAACAAGCTTTCTAGAATTTTTGGAATAAGCTTTCTGGAACAGAATTTCTAGAACAAGATTTTCCGAATTGAAATTTTCAGAAGACATGAAATATTTCTGCATAAGCTTTTTGGAATGAAATTTCATGAACAGAGACTTTTTGGAGTGCATATAATGTCTTCTAGAACACTCTTATGAAATATATTTGACTAATTGAGAAATATAATAAACATTATGTACCCACTAAGAAAATTTAATAACAATTCAAATGAAAATATTCAAATTTATCAGAGATGAAACTTAATTAAACCTTGTATCTATGAATGAAAGGGTGGTCTCTGACACATGTTAATGCATGAGCATGCATGATCAATAAGTTTAAAAAAGGGTCGCATTTTCATACTCTCTTCGAAATCTATGTCCAGAAAATGATATAAAGTAACTGGTCATCTAAAGAGGAAAAGAAATAGGAGATAATTAAAGTACAGTGAGTGTCATTATAGTTTAGGTATATAGCACACATGGACACCTCAACATCTTTGAAAGAACAAGGTGGAAGTAATGGTATATCGAGAAAAGGTACAGCGCTGCAGAGGCAAATCCTATTGTATCAGGAAGTATGCCATATGCCAGATAGGCTAAGATTCATCAACAACAACATACATTGACTAAGATTCAACTGCAATGCAGTAGTAACATGGACAAATATAGTTTTGCTGCAGTTCCACAAAAGCAATTATGCAGATAGGATGAATGAAGCACACCAAGTAGAATAGGCAGAAGGCATCGAGAAATTATAGAACTGATATGATAGCCATACATAAACACATCAAGATTTGTAAAAGAGATATTTGACAATCAAAGTAGAATAAAAAAACTTTTTTGATTAGTTATGAGTATAGATGTAGGTTGTTGGATGAAATACATACAAATGGTTTTTAGAGCTCATTCTGGTGAGGATACAAAAGTGAGGAGCATCCTACAAATTGTATTTTGTATAAATCTTTGTATTATATTCTTGTTGTCGTTTACAAAACTACATATACCGATCAGAATACTCCAAATGTTTCGCTTATGATATAAATATACTAATCTTGGTGAAGAAAGAAATAGTGTCGTGAAAATTTCTTTAGGCGCAACTGTGCGGGTAAATTGAAGAGGAGTGAATACAAATATTAAGTATTTCGTGCAAACAACACACTGATGGTTATATCAATTTATCAAATGTGAATGAACATGATTTACAGGTTAATCAATTGAAGCAAAAGAGTTACAGAGCCAGAATTTCTAATTAGAAATTAAGAATTTTAACGCTGAAACAGCAACCATGGTGCAAGAAAGTGATAAAAGACTGTAAAACAAATTAAAAATCTGGTGCAGGAATGAAATTTTAAAGCAAGAACTGAGTAGAGTCACGAAGAACAGTAGAAGGCAGAGCAACAGAATGTAAATATATAAAGAGAGGAGATATGATTAATATCTCACACACTCAAACCTTTGTTACAATATTGTTTTGCAGATGAAAATATGTAAAAAGCAAGATACTACTTGTGAACGAATCTGAAAACATGTTAAGCCAACACCAGAGCGAAGAATGCAATGAGCATAACAATTATCTGCGTATGAGTGAACCTAGCTCCAACAAGAAGCATAACAGTTGCAGAACATGCAAACAAAGTAAAGCTCAACATGGCTATGATGGAAAGCCAAAGTGGATGACGTGGTTGTGCTTGGAGAAGTGGTTTGCTGTATTTCAGTGACAATGAACACAAAGATAACGCAAAGGTCGCCCACCATGATGCCGTTCTTTCCATTTCTGCTGTTCTTCTTTTCTCACCACAAGTTCTGGGGAAATGCTTCGCTCGTATTCTGCTAGGTACTTGCTCAACACCATTAACAATTATACATATCTCTGATTCATCTTGCTGTGCAATTCAATTACTATTATTAGCATAAGGACATCACTTTTCTTCATTAGTTGTAGGATTTGGATAGGAAATTAAAGAAAACAACTTACACTCGAACTGTTTATTCGTCTGGGTGATTCCGGAAGCTTGCATTTCTCATCATTTTCATGCTTCTCCCTTCCGTTGATCTTCAAACTTCCCGTAAAGCCTTTTGAAACAAGATTTGCATGTTTAATCTGTTGGAAGTCCTGCAAAAACATTAATTGAAACATTTCGAAAGATGACTTTGGCATATGGAATCAAGATTTCCCAAAATTGATCGAAATTATAAACCGACGGATGGGTGGTTTATGAGGAATGATTAAGAAAACATTAAGAATTGAACATATCATGATACAGTTCGGCCAAAAATCAAGCATATACTACTTACCATGCAGGAGGAAATCATGATTTGGTACAGTGCGTAGCGTTTAGGGTTAAGCTTCTCAGGAGTAACAGTGCCACATATCTCTGATTCATCTTGCTGTGCAATTCAATTACTATTATTAGCATAAGGACATCACTTTTCTTCATTAGTTGTAGGATTTGGATTGGAAATTAAAGAAAACAACTTACACTCGAACTGTTTATTCGTCTGGGTGATTCCGGAAGCTTGCAGTTCTCATCATTTTCATGCTTCTCCCTTCTGTTGATCTTCAAACTTCCCGTAAAGCCTTTTGAAACAAGATTTGCATGTTGAATCTGCAAAAAAATTAATTGAAACATTTCAAACGATGACTTTGGCATATGGAATCAAGATTCCCCAAAATTGATCGAAATTATAAACCGACGGATGGGTGGTTTATGAGGAACGATTAAGAAAACATTAAGAATTGAATATATCATGACACAGTTCGGCCAAAAATCAAGCATATACTACTTACCATGTAGGAGGAAATCATGATTTGGTACAGTGCGTAGCTTTTAGGGTTAAGCTTCTCAGGAGTAGTACGTATTTGGTTCAAGTTGATGATTTGTGAAAGTCTGAAACAAAACCCTCATTTCCAAACGATAATTCTTTTCCAACTGCTTACGTAACGTGGAAAGTGAAATTCCGCGTTGAAATAGTCAATCCGGTGTAAAAAAGTCCAACCGCCAATGCTGTTAGATAACGTGGACTATTGGGATCAAAATAAGAATGAAACAAAAGTTCAAAAATAGTGTGAAGCTTTCTATCACTGAATCGTTAATCACTTAACGCCGTGTAAGAAGTCAGTTTCTCTTTTCTAAATCTTGTGCGGAAGCAAAAAGTGATTTTAGGGATTACAAAGGTTTGAGGTACCTGAGAGAAACGCAAGTAACCGAACAGAGCAGTTCAGCAGCTATGTCCCTTCCTATTGAAGATATACAAGAAAATCAGCTCCCAATAATGGAGAACTTGGAGGAACAGGAAAACAAGGAAATAGGTACTAATACTTTTACCTTCAAGCAAATTTTGCAACTGCAATTTCTTAATTGAAAACAAGAAAACAAAAAAACAATAATTATGCTGCTTCTCTCCACTCAAAATTCATTATCATGCATTTTTTGTTATAAAAAAAGTTGTTTCTTACTGGTCCGGAGATGAATCATCAGCTATGGATTCAAGAAGTCTTTCCGATTGATGGATCTAGGGTGGTCTGATAAATTTTCAGGATAATTATGTTAGTAAGAAGTACATGTTTAATGTTTTGAACCGTGAAAAATAGAAATAATTTGATTATGAATTTAAGCTTTTCATCCATTAGCTTACATAAAACAGACATGACAGAGAAGAAAAGAGGAAACAGAAATATCCTCACACAGGGTTTTCAAATTCTTATTTTTTTAATTGTGAGTGTTTGAGAAGATATTTGCTGTATTGATTGAATGCCATAATTTCTGACAACCAATCTTTTTGTTTGATCTGTGTGCAGAGAAGACTGAGAAGAGACTCACCTACTTGAGGAATTATTCACTTCTTGTAACTATCTCTCTCCATATATACTATTTGTTCTCTTCAACGTCAATATTTCTCAAGAAAATCCTATAACCTCTCAGTTACCTAATACTGATTGCTTTTATGTAGAGCAACAACCGAATCTTGAAACTCATGCTTTTATAATTAGTAATTTTATTATTGAATTTGAATTCACTTTTAATTATCAATTACCATATCTTTATTGTTTGAATGTAGGAGAAGTTTGATGATTTATACGATGACCTTCAACTAGAGATCTCTGAGGTATTTGTAAAACCAATTGATAACAATATTTTATTGAAATTGAATTCAATTTTTATTATTTTCTCTCGTGTATTTACTCTCAAGAAGAAAGTTGTTTGCATCTTTATCTTTATTATTTTTATTATTTTCTCTCATGTATTGACCTTAATTACCTAATATTTATTGCTTTTATTTACAGCCACCCAATCTTAAAGCTTATGCTCCCGAGCTATTTAAAGTGTTTAAGGTACTTTATAATTAGTAACACTTCATTATTGAAATTGAATTCACTTTTATTTATCAATTACGATATCTTTTTTGTTTGAATGTAGGAGTTTGATGATGAGTTTGATGATAAATTTGATGAGCGAATACTACTACAGGTTGAGATACTTTAGAACCAATTGATAACAATTTACTATTAAAATTGAATTCTATCTTTATTATCTCAAGTAACATATATTTTTATGTTGTTTTTACTTTCAAGAAGAAGGTTGTTTTCATCTCTATCTCTTATAAAAGTAACAAGAGAAACAACAATCAAATAATTAAAAAATTTCATAACCCCCCGATTACCTGATATTTATTGTTTTATGTACAGAAAAGCTATCTCAAAGCTCGTAATGATGTTTTTGCAGACGAAAAGGTAAAGGTAGTTTATAATTAGTAACACTTCATTATTGAAATTGCATTCATTTTTACTTATCAATTACCATATCTTTATTATTTGAATGGAGCAAGAGAAGTCTGGAATAGAGGTAGGGGAACTAATCCTTCTTATACATGATTTTTATAAACATGTTTTATGATCATAATATGAGTTAGGAATATGTAATTTTGGTATGGTAGTATCTATTCACTTGTATAAATTTAGTTTTTTCATGATTATAATTTCTTATTTCGAATTACTGTGGTAAAACCTTCCTTTTAATTGTTTTTACCATTGGATTTGCTAAAAGTTAATATATGAATCCTAAGACCATTCTTCACTTTGATTGTTCGAATCATCAATTAAAAAGAAGTCTCTACTTATTCGTGGAGAAATAAATCCCGTCATGTTTTGAGTAATTAATTCACCCCTATAAATTTTGGTTACGAGTTCCTCTTCGGTAAAAAATAGA